AGCATATTTCACCTCTTCCTTTTTCAGTTTTGAGGTCATTAAAGTCTCTTTGATGAATTAACAGTCTTAACTGATATATCCCCTGGTAGCTAAGTTCCCCAGGAAAGAAAGATGAGTTTGCATGCTAGAGAGCTTATACTGACACAGAGGTATAACTGGGTTTCCATCCACAGTATTAATATCTACCTGAGGGGTCTCTCAATTAGCAGGTGGATGAAATGACTCCTCCTGTAGATGTCAAGTCAGCTTCAATCCTCAGCCATGTCAGTGCTTGAGCAATGGGCCCATGAACAACTGGGCCATGGCAGGAATAGATACTTTTGGGGCCAACTGCATGGACTTTTTTCTCTCCAGGGCTGACTTATTTCCAGTTCTGAGGGAGACGAGTAACAGGGCTGGCTGTACAGTTTGAGAGGCCCTGTGCAAAGTGAAAAGGGGTGTGTGTGTGTGTAAAGCAACCCTCTCCACCTTTTCATTGCTATATAGTTTCAGAGGCCCTGTGCAAAATGAAAAGGGGTGTGTGTGGGGGGTGTTACACACACACACACACACACACACACCCCTTTTCATTTTGCACAGGGCCTCTCAAACTATATAGCCAGTCCTTCAAATTCTGTTTACAGAATTTACCAATCTGGACCAGTTAGCCACTGGGTGGAGTGTTGACGTTAGACGCTTTCTAACGTGGAGTGGTGAGTAATTTGTCTTCACAGGAGTTCATACCTACTGCAAGAGTGGTGTGACTTTGCTGTGTGCAGTATCTGTGCCAGCAACATGTTCTGACAGCTTGTGGAAGTCATAACCTGCTGTATGATATCTAATACAACATTCCTTTGGACTAAGAGACCACACTGCTAAAAAGGAAGTACAAGAATGGTCACATGACCACAGGATTTATTGATTATACTATTTAGTACTCAGAAGTGGGTGCCCACGTAGCATTGGAATGAGCTTGGGAAGGCTGGACTAAAGCAATTGCTCTGGGATAGCACCATCTGGGGATGTCCAGCATGTGTTAAACAAATTAATGGCTAATATATGATGGTATGCTCTCAATAGCTAGAATATATGGATCCAGGAAACAAGAGATGGAAATAAGTGTGACCTCTTTACTTTCAGTGACTCAGCTGGGGAATTTACACTTTCCATAGTGGGATGCTTAAGGTTGTCCTCACAACCTTAAGTTCTGCTGGGTAGAGGTCCTCTTTCTCATAGAAGTGAGAATGCCTCTTCCAAGGCATGCCTGTGCACGGTGTTGTAAGTTGGAAGCCATGCCTACCACCTGGCCACTTGGGGCTCTTCATGTGCATAACCCATCAAGCACATAAAGAAGTGGCTGAGCTTGTTGACATATTGAACCCTACTCCCTCTGTTGTGCTGATACTGCTGCTACACAATGTGGGGATGAGAGAATTTGTTTGGAGCTCATCGAAGCCATTGAGTTTATTCAAGCCTCTAGATCAGGAGTTGGCAAACTTGTTCTTGAAGGTCCATATGATAAATATTGTCAGCATTAGAGGCCATACGGTTTCAGTCACAACTATTTACCTGCTGTAGTAGCCTGAAAGCAGCCATAGTCAACACATGAAGAAATGAGCATGGCTGTGTTCCAAAGAAATGTTATATGCAAAAATAGGCATCTGGCACCCTGGCTACAGTTTGCTGACCTCTGCTCTGAATTTCACCTTGGGTACCAAAAACTGCAAAGCATAGAAGAAGAGGTTAATGCCAACAAGATGATGTAACAGCCACATCCAGAATGTGAGAAATTCTACAAGACGAATGATTTTTCTTCAGCAGAAAAATGACATGAAAGCAAAGAAAGGGGGAGAACTCCTATATATTAAGAGACTTAAGAATCATACTGATAAAATTCACTATGTGGACCTTCGATTATAAATACATTACCAGGGAAAATCAGTCACAGGCTGGGAATTACATGATGTTAGGAAATTGAAAAAAAATTGTTGGGTGTTATAACAATGTTAGGTTATGATAAAGTCAAAGGCTCTGTCTGTCAGCCATATCTAGTGAGGTACTGACAGTGAAATAATTCTATTTCTGGGGTTTGCTTTAATATAGTCGAGCAAAATAAAACAATTGTTTTGTGTGTAGGTTGATGTGGGGAGGGAAGTACTGATGAAATAAAAATAATGGCAACATGTTGACATTAGTTGAAATTAGTTGTTGTGCACCTGAGATTTGATTATATTATTTTCTCTGCTTTTGTGTTTCACAAATTCCATAATATAGAATTTAAACAATAGCAAAAAACAATTTTAATTGAATGAAAATGTTGAAGATGTTGGCATGCCATTTTCTGCCACTTTGCTCACTAATGACTTAGGTACTCATCAAATGAAAAACATGTAGAATGCTCAATTCTACAATTACACAACCTTCTCAATGGTCCCTGCTGTAGTTCAGTGTCTAATCTGAATCTCTGAAAGTAAATAAGTTGTTTAAGTTGTATTTTGCATTAGGAATTCTTCAATCTTTTTTATTTGTTTTTTATTTTTTTGAGACAGGATCTTGCTCTGTCACTCAGGCTGGAGTGCAGTGGTACAATCTTGGCACCCTGTAGCCTTGACTTCCTGTGCTTAGGTGATTCTCCTACCTCAGTCTCCTGAGTAGCTGGGACGATAGGCATGGCTAATTTTTTGTATTTTTAGTAGAGACAAGGTTTCACCACGCTGCACAGGTTAGACTCCAACTCCTGGGCTCAAGAGATCTGCCACTTCAGCCTCCTGAATCTTGAGTCTTTCCATTGAGCTAAAATATGTCTTCTGAATATGTATAAGAGTCCATGAGAAGACTACCCTCATTTCCTAATTCTTGCAGTGAAAAATTTAGGGAAAGAAAATGTTCATTCATTTTTTTCTTCCATTTGAACATCAGGCACATACACTCCATGTGTCACACATATGCCACACTCAGTTGTAAGACAACGGTTTACAACTGTCAGAGAGAGGTGTTTTATATCTTCCTACATTAATCTTAGGGCCCAGAACTTACAGCCTCTGTGACACTGGCAGTGATACACAGAAAGTATCTGCTTTGCATGCCCTCTAAAGTTCCGTCTCCTGTTGCAATATTTTATTTTTAGATAGGGAGAGTCTACTTCTGTAGTGCCTTTCTACCAACACTTTAGTAAACTTTATCGGCTCCTAAGTTTTTGACACCTGTGATGATGAATTATTTGCCTTTGATCACCATCCTGTGGTTTTTAGAGCACCAAACATGTCAAAAGGGCCAGGCACAGTGGCTCATGCCTGTAATCCCAATACTTTGGGAGGCTGAGGCCGGTGGATGATCTGAGGTCGGGAGTTGGAGACCAGCCTGGCCAACATGGTGAAACTCTGCCTCTTGCAAGTCTGCTTTGAACTTTCATTTCCTTCTTAAGGATGTAGTCTAGGTTCAGAGGGAAGCTGAGGTCCTGGGAAGAGGAAGGATAGATAGTTTTTTGTTTTTTTTTTGAGATGCGAGTTTCGCTCTTATTACCCAGGCTGGAGTGCAATGGCGTGATTTTGGCTCACCGCAACCTCTGCCTCCCAGGTTGAAGCAATTCTCCTGCCTCAGCCCTCCGAGTAGCTGGGACTACAGGCATGCACCACCATGCCCAGCTAATTTTTTGTATTTTTAGTAGAGACGGGGTTTCACCATGTTGACCAGGATGGTCTCGATCTCTTGACCTTATAATCCACCCGCCTTGGCCTCGCAGCGTGCTGGGATTATAGGCGTGAGCCACCGTGCCCGGCCAGGATAGATAGTTTTAAGGTCAAAGCTCAACACAGCCCTTCAGCCTGCAGAGACAACCCAGAGAAGTCTCCTTACACTTTCAAGAGTAGCACCAGGAAGCACATGTCATCACACATCCTCCTAATCTGAGCGTCACTGCCCTCCTCCCCTAAATACCACCACACACACTCATAGACAGTCCGTTCAGCTCTGGGTTTCAAATGTAAATCATTTGTCTTGGCCAAGATTGATCTGAAGTTCTACACTGGACTCTAGCCAGAAGCCTTGAAGGTAGGATCTGAAACCAGCCCAAATCATATTCTAATTTCATTTAACATCCCAATGAGTGGCCAGCTGGTGGTATCATGGAGAAAGTAAAGAGTAAAGCAGCAATCTGAAAACAGCCTGTACCTTGCAATGTCTCATTTAACAAACAGATAGTAACTGAACACCTGAACACCTACTCTGCCAGGTTCCCTGTTGCTTTTGTCACCTGGCCTTCTTCAAAGCACCAAACCTCTTCTCCCTTGGGTCTTTGTTTTTTAAACCAAGTGTTTGTTCTAATATATCAGTTCAGGCTTCTTGATTATCCCAAGGAACAATGGAAAAAATAGAAATTCCCTGAAACCTCTCCTAGAATAAGCTTGTGTGGAATTTTTTTTTGTTTGTTTAGTTTAGTTTTGTTTTTCTGAGATGGAGTCTAGCTCTGTTGCCCAGGCTGGAATGCTGTGGCATGATCTCAGCTCACTGCCACCTTCATCTCCTGGGTTCAAGTGATTTATGTGCCTCAGCCTCCCAAGTAGCTGGGACTATAGGCACACACCACTATGCGTGGCTAATTTTTGTATTATTAGTAAAGATGGGATGCCATGTTGGTTAGGCTGGTCTCAAACTCCTGGCCTCAAGTGATCCTCTGGCCTCTGCCTCCCAGAGTGCTAGGATTACAGGTATGAGCCACTGTACCCGGCTGAGCTTATGTGGAATTCTTATCTGCACTGTTTCCATTTCTTGGAGGCAGTGGAAGCAGGCTGGGCTTTGGCAACCAGCAGAGTGAGGTCAGAATGCCCACTCTGCTAGTTATTTGCAGCAGGATCACTAAATCACTTAATCTCTTTAAGTTTCGATTACATCTTTGATTAAATGGCGATTTTTATGATAATAATTACCTAGAGAGTTACTGGGGGACTAAATGCTATATGTATGCAAATGAATGGTCCATAGTAAAAACCTAACACATATTAGAACCTCCTCGGTCTTTTCAGAGGATATGGCAAGATGGCAGAAGTAGAGCAGAAGAAGAAGTGGACCTTCCGAAACTTCACCTACCGCGGCGTGGACCTGGACCAGTTGCTGGACATGTCCTACGAGCAGCTGATGCAGTTGTACAGTGCGCGCCTGCAGCAGCGCTGAACCGGGGCCATTGGTGGAAGCAGAGCTCTCTGCGGAAGCAGCGCTCTCTGCCGAAGCTGTGCTCTTTGCCGAAGCGCCTGCGCAAGTCCAAGAAGGAGGTGCCGCCCGTGGAGAAGCCGGAAGTGGTGAAGACGCACCTGCGGGACTTGATCCCTGCAGGAGATGGTGGGCAGCATGGTGGGCGTCTACAACTGCAAGACTTTCAACCAGGTGGAAATCAAGCCAGAGATGATCGGCCACTACATGGGTGAGTTCTCCATCACCTACAAGCCCATGAAGCACGGCTGGCAGGGCATCGGGGCTACTCCTCCCGCTTCATCCCCGTCAAGTAGTGGCTCTGCTAATAAAGGCACACAGATCTCCAAAAAAAAAAAAAAAAAAAAATTGATTTACTTCTAAGGCCCACTTAATAGCAAAGGTGGAAATCCATTTTCATACACACTTCCAATGAAAGTGAGAAGTGAGCAGGAAAAAGGCTGGTAGTGCTGTTGTCACTAATGGGAATGGACTGGGAGTTATCTAAATCAATTTACCAAATAGGAGGAGTACGTTTTGAAAGAAGTATATTGCCAGAAACTCAACAAAACTGACTAAGTATCTGAGAACAGAACCACTTCGTTCTCCTTGCCTCCTGGCAGAGCGCCAAGCAAAAATCCATGATAATCTTCCAGAACTCATGCTTTTGTCTTATCTTTTCCTCTGGACATGAGATTAATTGCTGTGTCCCACAAATAATTAATTGCATGTTATGTATGCACTCATTTCTCATCCATAAAATTTCTTTTCTTTTTTTTTTTTTTTTGAGACAGAGTCTCACTCTGTCACCAAACTGCACTGCAGTGGTGTGATCTTGGTTCCCTGCAACCTCCACCTCCCAGGTTCAAGTGATTCTCCTGCCTCAGTCTCCTGAGCAGCTAGGATATTACAGGTGCACGCCACCACACCCAGCTAAGTTTTGTATTTTTAGTAGAGACAGGGTTTTACCCTGTTGGCCAGGATGGACTCGATCTCTTGACCTCGTGATCCACCTGCTTCGGCTTCCCAAAGTGCTGGGATTACAGGCGTGAACCACTGTGCCCTGCCTAAAATTTCTTACTCTTGGAGAGTGCATATCCTTTAGCAAGTGCTCGCATTACCAAAAAGGACAATAAAAACATTCTCTATTTATACATGATTTTTCCGAAGGGTATCTTGACAGGCCACATATATCAAAACCCTAAAATGGTCATACTGCTTAACTCAGCAATTCCAATTCTAAGACATTATTTAAAAATATTTAATATGTGCTAAAAATATATGAAGTAGTATGCTATTTATAAATTGAAATACTCTTAAGTTTTAAAGTTATTATAGAATGCTATGTAGCTATTAAAATTGTGTTGTAGAAGAATAATGACATGGACAAATGTTCATAATTAATTTGTAGCCAGAAAAACAAGTAGGTTATAAGGCATTTAAAAAATGCACTTATTGCTCTAAAATCTGGGCTTTACAGAGTCTACAATGAAACCATCAAATTATTCAGCTATTATCTCTAAATAAAGGAATTAAAGGAAAATATTGGTTCTACATCTTTGTGCTTTTCATGTTTTAGCAGTTTTCTGGTTATTGTTATTGTTCGTATTAGCCAGTGAATGATGCGTTCTTTCTCTTTAGGGTCTTTGGGATGATGGTCCCACTTCCTGAAATATCATTGCCCCCTCTTCATCTGTTGAAGATAATTATCTGGTCATTCTTCAAAGCTCAGCTTATATATCACGGATTCCCAGAATTCTTTACTACACCCAGGCTTTCTTGCATCTTCCATTTAAAATACATAAACACACTGATTGAACAGTTATGACAGGCTAAACACTATTCTTGGCTATTTTGTGTGTTTTTACTCACTTATTTTTCACAATAGACAGATGACATAGAGAATAATATCATCTTTGTTTTATAGATAATGTAACCGAGGCTCACAGATTAAGAAACCATCCCAAGATCATACAGCTAGTAAATGGCTGAGTGACAATATTATTAACCCAGGCTGCCTGACTCTAGAACCTCTGCTGTAAACGTCTCTGGTAACCTGCACTCTACTAAGCTATTTCTTTTTTTATTTTTTATTTTTGAGATGGAGTCTCTGTCACCAGGCTGGAGTGCAGTGGCACGATCTCAGCTCACTGCAACTACCACCTCCTGGGCTCAAGTGATTCTCCTGCTTCAGCCTCCCAAGTAGCTGAGATGAGAGGTGTGTGCCACCATGCCCAGCTAATTTATACATTTTTAGTAGGGATGGGGTTTCACCGTGGCCAGGATGATCTCAATCTCTTGACCTCATGATCTGCCCACCTCAGTCTCCCAAAGTACTGGGATTGCAAGCGTCAGCCACCACACCCAGCCTCTACTAACCTATTTTAATAGCTGCTTTGCTTCTGTGCACATTGACATCTTTTGCACCTGGATATTCTTGAATACAACAGGGCCAAATTTCCAGCAGCAATCATCTTTAGAGATCAGTATTTGTGGAATAAAAAAAAAAATCAACAAGGCTTACCATTGCTATTATATAGTGAGTGTTTTTTTTTTTTATCATAGAGAAGTGGTAGGAAAAGGGGATGAAGAAAGAGAAAGGAAAAATATAAGGGATGAAAGAAAGACGAAGAAGAACAGGAAGAACAGAGAATGGTTGTAGAGGAAAAAAAGATCTCAGGCTTTGGGGACATTCAACTGACAGCCTCCTTACCTGTACCTTTCAGAAATCCTAATTCTCTAATTTATCAAACTTTTTTAAAAAAGCGGTTGGTTGGGTGTAGTGGCTCACATCTGTAAGCCCAGCACTTTGGGAGACTGAAGTGGGAGGATTGCTTGAGCTTAGGAGTTCCAGACAAGCCTTGGCAATAAAGCAAGACTTGTCTCTCTACAAAATAAATAAAATAGCTCGGTATGGTGGCATGCACCTGTAGTCCCAACCACTTAGGAGGCTGAGGTGAGAGGATGGCTTGAGCCCAGGAGCTCAAGGATGCAGTGAGGTATGATCACACCACTACACTCCAGCCTGGGCAACAGAGTGAGATCCTGTCTCAAAAAATGAAAAATAAACGAAAAAAAGCAGCATACTTTTTTTTCAAGTGAAATTTAGTAGTGAAGACCAGAAAATAAAATAGATGATGCTGGTATTGGGACCAGAGTTTTCTGGGGAATTCCTAGCCTGCCCCAGCCCCATTGCAGCCCTGAGACATCTTTGAAACATTATTTGGATTCTGAGAACAGTTTGAAAGCTGCTGCATTAAAATTTCTCTCTGGGTGATGGTCACAAGTGTGCCTTCGTGAGTAGAACCCTTATCTCTTATAGGAACAAGGTTAAAATCTGTGATCTGTTTCTGAGACTCCACTGAAAACATACTAAATCCAAAGTTAATTAATAAAATAAAGTTAAAGAAAATGAAACTATATATTAACTCTGAAACGTTTGTATAATTTCCTTATATATAAATGTTCCTTTTGGAAGATTTTTTTTTCTAAATGGATCTTATTGGCTAAAGTGTTGATTTAACTTTGGACTTCAGATGGGTTCTTTTCCTTATAAACATTTCTACAGCAAATATAGGCAGTTCCATGGTACCAAGGATATTCAAACTGCTTTCAAAATTAGTTTTATTTATCTTGAAATGTTCTGTGGTTACTTTGATATATATGAATTCCTCTAAAAGCTTCTGAATGGAGAAAAAGTTGGTGGAGGGAAGTTTTCTAAGGTAACTTTATTTTCTTCAATAACTCCTTGCTCAAAACACAGAGGGGGTTCTGATTTCAGCCAGCCAGTCAGCAATGTCAATCTACTCATTGATGCATCAGCATCCATGATAGAATTGCTCGAAGTCATTAGCAGTTATATATGACATGTTATTCATTACTACAGTGTTTTATTTGTAAGAAAGATAATAATAGCAAAGTTTTGCAGATCAAGTCAGTATACTAGTGTAGGTTTTAGTCTAGGTATTAGTCTACCTCTACCTTTGAATGTTGAAGTAATAATACTGTTGCAGGCACAACAGACATGAGTGGATGTTGTGAATCGTGTTTACAGAAGATATGGAAGGAGATGTTGGTACAACACAAGTTGAGTTGCAGATGTCTTCTCTACCAGTTTACACATCTGGGACAAAGGATGTGTGAAGTACAGTAAAACTTCTAGGATCGGTGGCTGGCTTACAGGGACTTTGTGTTACCCAACTAGAATGGGCTCTCCAAGTACCCATTTTATATTTATGTATCCTTCCAATAAGTCATTACATTTGCAAATACACCAACATTTATGTATCTTTGATTCTTTAATTGTTTAAGAGCCCAGAAAAATAGCTATCTTTTCTGTATTAAAAATGTTCTATACTGGGCGTGCACACATGTAGTCTCAGCTGCTCTGGAAGCTGAGGTGGGAGGATTGCTTCAGCATAGAAATTTGACACTAGCCTGAGCAACATAGAGAGATCCTGTCTCTAAAAAATATTTCCAGATGTTCCAAATGCAATCATCTTGTCATTAATTTGATGTGCATTCTTCATTTCATCCTCCAGACAACCCTATCAAGTAGGTACCATTTATTTCCATTTACAAAAGTGTTCAGGGTCTTTGACTTGCCCACTGATGCACAGTTGGTTAAAAACATGATCAGAATGAAGCCAGCATATCTGACTCCAAAGTCATGTCCTTGACTGCTCTGCTAAGTGGGCCCTTGCAGTGTCTTACAATTAGAACTGTACTTTTATTCATTGTAATTATTCTTTCACAGTCTAGCTCATAGCGGGCATTTTAGAAATGTTTTTTAGTGAATGAATGAATAAAAAATGATTGTTTGAGTTGTGCATACCAAAATAATATACCAATTACTTCTTAAAATCACCTAAGCTCTTTTTACCTTTCTCCATCTCTACTGTTAGCACTGGCCAGAGCCACCATCCATTTTGCCTGGAATCCTTCAGAAACCATCTAACTATTCTCTGTATCCTTGGCTGCCTCTAGTCTATTTTCACTAAAACAACCAGAGGGAGCTTGCTGGAATGCAAACCATTTCCTCTTTCCCCTCATAAAACAGTCTTCAATGGGTTTCCACTGCTTCTAGATTGAGTCGCAGATCCTCAACATAGGACACAAAGCCCTTTAGCCTTATCTCATACCGTGTCCCCACAGCCCTCAGTGGCCCAGCCACTCTGCCCTGCCTACAGTTCTCATGGTGCTGCTTCCCACCACAGGACATCTGCCTGTGCTCTGTTCTCTGCTGGAAATGCATGTTCCTCTTCCCTCCACCCTCCACCGCTAGTAATTCCTCTTCATCCTGTAGATCTCAGGTCAG